TTCTTCACGATGCCACTTTCTATATGTATATGGGTTTGTTATTGTTGCTGTTGATGTTTTAAAATAATGTATTAATTTACTTACTTGTTCTCAAAAGGTTTTAAACATATTTCAGAAATGTTAAAATTATTATTATTATTGATTGTATGTGCTATAGTTTACATTATTAAAATTATTTATGTGTTTGTTGTGATCGAAAAAAATAAAATAAAAAAATTGAAAAAATTTTAAAAAAATTTGTAAAAATTTTCTCTTTTTTTTTTTTTAAAAATTATTCATTTTTATCAATTTTATAAAATTTGCTGATAAATCTAAAATATCTTAAAAAAAAAAAGTAAATAAAATCTTTAAAATGAAAAAAGTGAGGTGTATATATTTTTTAAAATAATTTAATTTTTTTAATTTAATTTATAATAAAAACTATTAATTATTAAAATTTATTATATAAAGAATTTTTTTTATAATTACTATTTTTGTTATATATTGAAGCGATTATGATTACGATTATTAATATTTTATGATATAAGTAAAAATAAAAATAAAAATAAAAAAAAGAATCTATTGATTGTATATTTATTTGTTTTTTTAATTTAAGAACTTGATTTAAATAAATATTAAATTTTAATTTTTGTTTTTCAATTTCTGTTATGTTCTGATGAAATAAGCGTATGGAGTCGAAAATTTGGAACTTAAAAATACAATGGAATGATGCATAACTGCCATGGATGCGAACTGGGTTCAATTACATGGACAAATTTATTTAAAATGATAATAATAAATAATGATTTTGTTATACCATTACTTTAACATTGCCCTTACTGCATTACCACAAAATGCACTATTCTCACTCCCATCACCTGCTACAACATTTAATTCACTACTTGAATCACTGACGAAATTATCTTTAACTTTTCTATAGAGTTGAAAAAATGAAATGACCATAAATAAAGAAAATAAGTATTAAACATTATTATAACTGAAAAAAATGAGTAATTTGGTGATTAAAGAACTGCAAGGTGTAATTTTTAAAGAATAAATTTAAAATAAAAAAAATAATTTAAACTTTTTTTTTATATAGTTTTTATTTAAAAAAAATTAAAATAAAATATGTAATAAATATTTTTGTTTTTAAAAATATAAAAGATTACTAATTAAATTTATTTTAATGATACACCAACTAAAGAAGAAAAAATAGAAACAACAAAAAAGAAGAAAGAGAAAAAGAAAATAAAGTAAATTAAAATAAAAGTAAATTAAAAATAAATTTTCAATGTTATTAAAATTATATATTAAAAATAATAAACTATATAGAATTAATATTTGGAATTAATTAATCTTTTTTTTTTAAATCTTTTTTTTACATTTAGCTAGGTATTCTGGATATCATTTAAGAGAGAATTTAATGAAATTTTCAATAAAAATATAGATTAAATTATAATTCACAATTTAAAACTATAAAATAAGATAAAATCTATATAGCTATAAAATATAAATTATAATAATTTAATAAAAACATTATATTAAACAATTGATTATTTTTTATTTTATTTTTTTTTTTGTAATTTTAAAAATTTTTTAAATTTCTTTTTTTTTTTTTCATTTATAAAAATTAAAGCTATCGTTCACTCACACATATTTTTTTACATCCAGCTTATATATTTTTTTTTTGCATTAAATCATATAATTTATTTTTATTTTTACACTTATATACATTTTATTTTATTTTATTTTATTTTAAATAATTTATTTTTTAATAAAAATGTTAAATATTTATTTTATTATTTTATATTTTTTTATTTATTGTTGTTAGTAGCATTTTTTATTACTATTTTGGTAAAATCTTACTCAAGAAATACAAGGGTTGCCGTTGCTCTACCACTAAAGGGGAATATTGCCATTATTGTGCCTTTGATTACGATTACTGGGGAATTCAAAATATAGAAAGCCAAAAACTTGAATATGATCATATAATAGATAGACACAGATTATATGACAGACAAACTTCCCAACAACACACATTCATTATGGAACAATGTCAAAAGAGGCTACAACTATATCAATTTCAAATAAAACAACAGCAAAGACTAGATATTCCATATCAGCAACAACTACAACTCGAACAACAACAACGACTACAACTAAAGCAACATCAAAATCTACAACAACAACAACTAGATCAGGAACAACATCAAATAAGACAACGACAACTACAACATCAAAGACAACAACAACAACAACTATTTCACCAAGTAGAACAACAACATCTACAAGAACTTGAACAAAAAAAACAACAAATACAATAAAAACAACAACAAAAATGTTTTTTTTGTAGATTCTTTTAAAAATAGTTACCCAGAAAAAATATTATAGTTGATGAAATTTATAGTTGTTTAAAAGTTATTTATTATGTTGTCATCCCAGTGGTAAAGAATAGCTTAGGTCGTAAATTTACAGTTTTCCAAGGTTTAAAATTTTAGTAGTCCCTATGTTCAATTCCAAATAGTTTTCGATGTTATGGAAGTAGAAATTGATCTTTTAATAAAAGCAACCCCAAATGGCAAGAAATGAGTTAAAATAATCAAGTACAAGAATAATTTTGTTTTAAAAAATACTTTTCAAAGGTGAAGTTACCTCCAATACCTTCAATTGCGTTTCAAGTAGACTTTTGTATAATAAAAAAAAAAAAAAAAAAAAAAAAAAAATAATAATAAAAATAATAATAATAATAATAATAGAATCAAACATTCACATATTTCAATCTATTTTATGGAAGAAATACATTTTCCCTGGCCAGGCAAATATATTGGAACATCAAATGATTTTAATATCGAATATATTTTCAGAATAAGGACACTAAAACATAATTAAATTTTTAAATAAAATATAATAAAATTTTATTTTTATAAATAATATGTTTATTTTTTACCATTTTCCTTTTTATTAAATATAGCTCTTCATGATATAATTACAATTGATAAAATAGTATTGAATAAACTTGGTGATGATTCTCTAAATTGTGTTTTTAAATAAATATTTCAAATAATGTTTGGTAGAGTTATTTATAACAGTGCCCCCAAATAAATATGTAGACCCCCAATTTATTAAGATGGAAATGATAATTATTGAATTAATAAGTCATATTTAATAGTAATCATATCTATCTGTAACTTTGTCAAGTTGCTCTTTTAAATATTTGTGTATATATCTCAGTAGGGGAATAATACCTGATTTTATTGTTTTCTTATTTTATTTTCATTATAAGCTGTCTTTGGGTGTTGTCTGTGATTCTTTGAAAAATATACCCCCAATTTTTAGTAAATATCAACACGTTATCACAGCCATTTTAAATTTTTAAAATAAATATTTATTTTTAAAAATCTAAAAAATTTTTTTTTATTTTTTTTTTTTTATTTTTTTTTTTTATTTTTTTTATTTTTTTAATTTTTTTATTTTTTTCAATGCACAACAAACAAACACATAAATAATTTTAATAATGTAAACTATAGTACATCCAATAAATAATAATAATAATTTTAACATTACTGAAAATATGTTTAAACCTTTCGAGAACAAGTAAGTAAATCAATACATGAATAAAACAACAATAACAACAACAAACCCACATACATATAGAAAATGGCATCGTTGAAGAAATAGAAATAGAATTACTAACATAAATTAAAATAGCTTTTATTAATATTCAAAAGACAGATTAACCAAATTAAAACCATTCAATACCCTTACAGGATCTGCTGTCGTCGATATTATGAATGAAAGGATTTTAATCAATTATATAAATATTTGGTCTAATAAATCCAACCACGAAATTACTTCTATATTTTAATAATCTCAAAACTAATATCAATAACTGTCATAAAAAGTCACAAAGTCGCAAAGTCGCAGAACTCAAATTCTTTCAAATTCTTTCAATCTCTGATTAAATCAGATAAAGCAAAATTCAAATCAATTATAAGTTCATGTAAAAATTCAAAAAGTGTTAAAGGATGAGCCGTTCAGCTCTTATAGACACTAGTTCACGGTTATCATGTATGAAAAAAACATTAGCAAAAAAAATATTAAACTTAAATCCAACTAAATACTAAACACTCATGAATATACCAATCTAATCAACTATTTATATGAATCTCAATACATTTGCCTTGGCCCAAGCAACAATGATAGAACACAAATAGTTTAGATAAGGAAAAGGGTAAACTTCAGCTTTCGTAAATATTGCTCAAATAGCGAAACAGTCCAATGAATTTTAGCTTATCAAATATTTAAAATATGATCCCCAAAGAATTAAGTATCTGATGGAGGTTCAAGGTTCATAAATGAAGTCGTCGTTTCAATAAACAAATTCTTTAAAGTAACTCCAGCTTTCGCTTGCCATTTTTAAACACATGTTTTAACAGAAAAGTTTAATTCATCTTAGTTCACAAGTACCTAGATATTATTGTAAAGAAGACAATACAAATGATCCACAACTAATTGGTATTGCTTCATCCTTCTACTGGCATCTCCATTTTCAACTTTATAAATGCAAACTTGTAATCAGACTTAGCAAGTATTAGAACTGTTCAAATATAGATGTTATTTATTCATTGTAGAAATGAAAATTAAAACCTATGCAGATTGCAACTTATGCTCGTAATATGCCAAATTAAATTTTTCAACACCAGTTCATCTCCAAACAAATGACCAAGAAATACAAAGTAAGTGTTCAAATAATACCACAACATCAACAACAACTAAAACCAGAAACAATTCCAGTTAGACCAAGACAATACTTATATAAACGTAGTGCACTAAGACTACCTGAAAAATCAAAACATTAAGAATAAGGCTATTAATCAAGAAAGAAGTGCAGCTTAAAATTCTCTTATCAAAAGTAGAAAATGAAATCAAAATTTCCAAAGGTTATATTTAGGAGTTAGAAATCTTGGTGATTCCCCTCGTTCATCTGGTTCACAATCTGCTTCAAGTTTCTCCATTAGGGAAAATTATCAAGTATTAAAAGGAAAATACATTTCATTAGAAAAGCAATTATTTAAAAAAGAAGAGGAGAAGAGATAAATCCAGTAAACAATTTTTCAACACTGGTCATGATACTTCAGTTGGTATATCAGAAGTTTCACTGAGTTCTCGTACTGATAGAGGGGATGGATTGATCCATCAGCATTGATTTCCAAGCAAACTGATGAGTGCGAAGAGAAAGCAGAACAAATAAATCCATTAAAAGCGGTAGCATCAAAATCTAATGTTGGTAGTTCAAATGCAGGTGCTAATAATTCACCAATCATCACATTGAATACTTCAGAAGAAATCAATGGTGATAGAATCAAAGAGATTGAACATGAATTTGAAAGTTATAGAATTGCAAAAGAGAATTTAGCAATGGAAAAAGATTTAGAAACATAACAATTAATAGAAAGTCAAAGAAATAACAGTATTTTTGTTGTAGATCCGAGAAATCTCGATGATAAGCTTCCAACTGAAATGATGATACAGGCTGAACAACTTCGAAAGTTAGAAAATTAGAGATTTCTGACTCAAAAGGTTCATTTAGAAACAGTTAGAAATGAAAATACTCAATTATTAATAACCGTATTCCACTTCATCACTCATCAATTATGGGTTACTATCCAATTGCAAAATTATTACTCCAAAATGGTTATAATATCAGAACAATCGAAAATATTTTCAGTATTAGGATACCGAAACATTATAAAATTTTTAAATAAATATAAATTTAAAATTTTAAATTTTTTATAAATAATTTATTTCAAAAAAATATTATCTCTTTTTAAACTTTTTTTAAAAAAAATTATTCAACATAACAGTTTGAATATGCACATCATAATTTGTTTCTTTTCCAACTTTTTTATTTTTTTTCTATTTTTTTTAACCATTTTTTGTTATTATTATATGCCTTTATTCTTTTTTTTTAAGGGGTGTTAAGGCAAGGGGGGTGTCTTGATAAAAAAAAATTTCTTATATTTAAAAAAAAGTGATGCATAAATTTCTTCTATTTAGTTATAAAAATTTATTAAATAATTTTTTTTTATTTTCCTCTCAAAAACCTTCACAGGACCATAAGTAGTAATATTATGGTGCTATATAACAACATATTCACACCTAAAATGATAATATTATATTTTAAAAAAAAAAATTATAAATAATATTTTTATTTATCCACCAAGTTCCAAAAAAAGATCAACAGAAAGTTTGTAAACAGTTTATAAAAAATGATAAGTAAAAGTTCAAAAAATTTAAATCTATAAAAAAATTGTGGAAATAACCAATAGTAATTTAATTTTAAATACAAATAAAAGAAGATAAAATTTTATGTTGAATCTATCTCATAAAAAAAAAATTAGGTAAGTGAAGTGTTTGGGTAGTTTTAAATTTTTTCCTTTAACTGACAAGTAAAAAAAAAGAAGATAAAAATTAATAAAAAAAAAAAAGGGGTTAACCCCTCCGGAGTGTTTTTTTAAGTTAAAAATAAATTTAATAAAAAAAAAATAAATTTAATAAAAAAAAAAATTGTTTTTTTTAATATAAATACTGGCTACTGAAAATTAATTTATTCATTCAAATATATTAATATAGCAAAAAAAAAAAAGTATTTATAAAAATTGTATATAAAAAAAAAAAAAAAAAAAAAAAAACTAATTTTATTATTATTATTCTTTTAAAATGAAAAGTGAATGGATCTTGGACTATAAGTATGCTATTCTTGTTTTTTATTATAATTTTTACAGAAATTTTTCTAATATATTTTTCTTATTTTTTTTCTTTTTAATCAGAACCAAACGAATCAGAAAAAAATATTGTAGGTATTATTATCTATATTTTTGAAAATTTTTATTTTTTAATAAACTAATATAATTTTAGAAAACTTCAAAAAGAGAAACAATTATCAATTTTACAGTTGAAGGTGGTGGTGAAGGAAAGGTTTGGTTTGCATGTGAACGTGTTCCACCAGTTGACTTTGTTTTTCAAAATAATGGAAAATTTATTTATGATTTTAGAGGTGGAGATATAACCATAAATAATATAGGAAAAACAACCATAAAATGTGATGCCCAATTTAACTAGAGTTCGAAGAACATCATCGTTTTTCTTTTTTATTATCACACAGAAGACTTTATTCAAAAAACCATTTTTTGAATATAATTTGAAAAAGATAAAAAATAGGAAAATCAAAAAAGTTAAAAAACAGGATTATAATTAATAAAAAAAGAATTGTTATTAAAATTTTGAAATTTTTATTTAACTAATAATAGTTGTGATTAAAAATTATCGTTATCGTTTATTTTTTACAATAAATATAAATTTTATTTTTTATAAACAATCTATTTTATTTTTACCTAATTTTCCTTTTTATTAAATGCTAAATGATTCATTCAAAAATAAAATGGTAAACCCGGATAATTTATTATGATGATATATGAAACCTTGAACTGGTTCTTGATAGTTGTCTTTTTGATGATATTCGAATGTATATTATTATTTGATCACCTACTTTGTATTTCTTGGTATGTTCATTTTGTTTGTAGTTTGTCTCTGAAAGCAGCTTATATCGTTTATTCAATTCTTAAATGATTTGTGAATGGCGGTGAGTTAGCAGTTTATAGAGAAGTTGGTTCATAACCCTGGTTTGCGAAAAATGGAGTGATTTAGTTGTGTTTAATACAGAAAATGACCATTTATTTGGAGATGAACCGGTGTTGAAAATTTAATTTGGTACCAAAATTTTTCATTTAAACTTTGTTAATAGTTTTTAATGGTTATAAAAAGATAAATGAACTAAATAATTATTGTCCTGAAAAATGTGAGGCGTTTTATTAATTGTATGATAAAATGTCGAATTTGGTGATGTTTGGGTGTCACTGCTATTGCTTGATGAGGACTGCCTTTGGTTTGGCACTATATTGATTTTTAATTATTATAAAATGTTTTAATATTAACTTTCTTTAGGGCTTCTAATAACTGAGGACTGAATATTGATTTTTTTGGGGTCATATTTTAAATATATTTGATAAGCTAAAACCATTGGACTGTTTCACAATATTTACGAAAGCTGAAGTTTACCCTTTTCCTTGTCTAAACTATTTGTGTTCTGTCATTGTTGCTTGGGCCGAGGGAAATGTATTGAGATTCTTATAAATGGTTGGTAAGATTGAATATCTTCATTAGTGATTAGTTGGATCTAAGTTTAATCTTTTATTTTGCCAATGTTTTTTTCATACATGATAACGGTGCACTAGTGTCTATAATAAGAGCTGAAAGGTACATCCATTAACACTTTTTGAATTATTACATGAACTTGTAATTGATTTGAATTTTGCTTTATTTGATTTACTCGAGATTGAAAGAATTTGAGTTTCTGCGACTTGGTGATAGCATTTGATATTAGTTTTGAGATTATTATTATATAGAAGCAATATTTCGTGATTGGATTTATTAGACCAAATCTTTATATAATTGATTAAAATCCTTTCATTCATAATATCGACGACAGCAGATCCTGTAAGGGTATTGAATGGTATTATAAAACTGAATAGTTTTAATTGGTAAATCTGTCTTTTGAAAGTTATTTTAATTTATGTTAGTAATTCTGTTTCTATTTTCTATATTTCTTCAACGATGCCATTTTCTATATGTATGTGGGTTTGTTGTTGTTGTTGTTTTAAAATAATGTATTAATTTACTTACTTGTTCTCGAAAGGTTTTAAACATATTTCGGTAATGTTATAATTATTATTATAATTGATTAGATGTGGTATAATTTACATTATTAAAATTATTTATGTGTTTGTTTGTTGTGTATTGAAAAAAATTAAAAAAAAATAATTAAAAAAAAAAATTAAAAAAAAAAAATTATAAAAAAATTATTGGAGTTTTAAAAATAAATTATTATAAAAAAATAAAAATCGTAATGAGTTGATATTTACTAAAAATTATTAATAAAACAACAAAGTGCTGCAATCAAAAAATTAAATAAATAAAATAGTTCTATGTTTAATTATAAAATTAAAAATATGCAAATATATAATATTTTTTTTTTTTTTTATGAAATATTTTATTTTTCTTTATTATAATCAAACACAATAAGAGTGATTTTTATTCTTTATTTTATTTTTCTTTTGGTTTTTTAAATTTTTTTTTTTTTTTAAATTTTTTTGTTGATAAATACTAACTAGTGAACTATTTGGTGATACTAAAGAAGAGTATGGAAATAGAAATCGGAATGATTTTAATAAAGAGGATGATATTTGTGATAAATTTGGATTTGATATATAATTAAATAGTGAACTATTTGGTGATACTAAAGAGTATGGAAATAGAGATCGGAATGATTCTAATAAAGAGGTTGATATTTGTGATAAATTTGATATAAAAATAAACATATGTTTTTTATATACATAAAGACCAATAGCAAAGGCGGCAATAAAGATGGAATCTGCAACTATAATTGGATAATTGGTACTACCTTTTTCATATTTAGCAATAGAATTCATAGCAATAAATGGTAAATAACTATTACTATGAATATTTAAACGACTGATTTCACGTGATTTTTGTTTACCTTCTTCTTCAGTTGGTAATTTTATAAATTGAATATGAACATATGATGGTTGACGGCAAAAGAATGGAATTTTAATTGAATGGGCTTCTGGTAATGGGCTGCTAATACTCTTTTTGTTTCTAATAGTCACAATAACATTTTGTGGATCATTTGATTGTTTTTGACAAGTGACTTTGAATGAATTATTATCACCTGGAGTGATTGAGAGTGAGTTTTGTTCTTTATTATCTGATGAAATAAATTTGGAATAAATCTTTGGTTGTAAAAGCCATGTCTCTTTACCACCACAGAAAGAAACCTCGGCCGATGAACCTAAACTTAATAAAAACTCTATTTGATCAGCTGGTGGAGAAGCAAAAATACGAATTTCTTCTCTCATTCCATTGTATTGAACTGAAATAACAGTTGAGCCTTCTTTTAGAGCCAAAAATTCACGAGATGAACATATGTCACTTGATATCTTTTGTTGGTCGACCTTTTCATGTGGTAAAATTTTGAAAATGGAATCATCTTTAACTTTCCATTCTAAATTATTAATTGAGCAAGATTCGAAATGAACTCCTTTTGGTAAATGCTTTGATAATAATTTAGTTGAGAGTACTAATTTTTTACCAACTTCGACCTCTACTTGAGATGATGAAAAAACAATTTGGTCTGGTTCTTGAACATTGACAACAGATCTAGCAAAATTATTATTAGCAATAACACCCTTAGAATTGACATCAACAATGGATGTATTTCCAACTTTTGGATTACTTGATGACCAAATATAAGTTGAGTTTGGAGTATCTATAAAAAAAATTAAGGTTAATATTTATTATCCAATATTTACTTTTTAAAAAAGTTCTATTTTTAGTTAATAATTTATAGTACCTGGAATGCAAAGTGAAGAACTTGGATTTAATTGGGGTGTTTCTGGGGTAAATCTTGATAAAAAAAATAAAAATATAACTAAAAATGATAGAAATAAAATTTTATTTACTATCATATTTGGGTTGATTTTATATACATAAAGACCAATAGCAAAGGCGGCAATAAAGATGGAACCTGCAAATATAATTGGATAATTGGTACTACCTTTTACATATTTAGCAATAGAATTCATAGCAATAAATGGTAAATCACTATTATTATGAATATTTAAACGACTGATTTCACCTGATTTTTGTTTTTTCAATGATAAAATAGAATCTTGATGTATTGGATTCGATGATTGAATAATTTGTTTACCTTCTTCTTCATTTGGTAATTTTATAAATTGAATATGAACATATGATGGTTGACGGCAAAAGAATGGAATTTTAATTGAATGGGCTTCTGGTAATGGGCTGCTAATACTCTTTTTGTTTCTAATAGTCACAATAACATTTTGTGGATCATTTGATTGTTTTTGACAAGTGACTTTGAATGAATTATTATCACCTGGAGTGATTGAGAGTGAGTTTTGTTCTTTATTATCTGATGAGATAGTTTTGGAATAAATCTTTGGTTCTAAATGCCATGTCTCTTTACCACCACAGAAAGAAACCTCGGCAGATGAATCTAAACTTAATAAAACTTCCATTTGATCAGCTGGTGGAGAAGCAAAAATACGAATTTCTTCTCTCATTCCATTGTATTGAACTGAAATAACAGTTGAGCCTTCTTTTAGAGCCAAAAATTCACGAGATGAACATATGTCACTTGATATCTTTTGTTGGTCGACCTTTTCATGTGGTAAAATTTTGAAAATGGAATCATCTTTAACTTTCCATTCTAAATTATTAATTGAGCAAGATTCGAAATGAACTCCTTTTGGTAAATGCTTTGATAATAATTTAGTTGAGAGTACTAATTTTTTACCAACTTCGACCTCTACTTGAGATGATGAAAAAACAATTTGGTCTGGTTCTTGAACAATGACAACAGATCCAGCACAATTATTATTACCAATAACACCTTTAGAATTGACATCAACAATGGATGTATTTCCAACTTTTGGATTCCAAATATAAGTTGGAGTTGAGTTTGGAGTATCTATAAAAAAAATTAAGGTTAATATTATCCAATATTTACTTTTTAAAAAAGTTCTATTTTTAGTTAATAATTTATAGTTTATTTTAGTACCTGGAATGCAAAGTGAAGAACTTAGATTTAATTGGGGTGTTACTGGGGTAAATCTTGATAAAAAAAATAATATAACTAAAAATGATAGAAATAAAATTTTATTTACTATCATATTTAGGTTGATTTTATATAAATATATATAAAATATATAAATATATAAAATAATAAAGAAAGAAAAAGTTGAAAAAATAAAATATTGAAAAATGTGTGAATATTATTTAATTAAAATTATAAAAAAAAAAAATATTATTGTGTTGAAAAATTGTAAAAATAAAGCTATTATTTGTGTGAATAAAATAATAAAGAAAAAAAAAAAAAATGTTTTCTTTAATTCAAAAAAAAAAAAAAAAAATTAAAATAATAAAAATTTATTTATTAAAAAGAAAGAATTGTTTAATTTTTTTTATAAAATAAAGAAAATAATTAAAAAAATAATTGTAAAGCAATAATTTAGTTTATATCTTTTTTTATATTATAGATTGATCATTTTTTTTATTTGATTTCGATTTTTTATTTAATTCTCTTTTAAATGATACCCAAAACATTAAACTAACTTTTTCATTTTAAAAAAATGATTTTTAAAAAAAAAAAAAAAAATTAATCAAATTGATTATTTGTATGATTTTTACAACTAAATTTAAGAAATTATATTAGAATTTTTATTTAATTATTAGTTTTAATAAAAAAAATAATTATAAAGTAATTTATAATATATTTAAAAATTATAAATATGTGTTTTTTTAAATAAAAAAATTAAGGAGATTTTGGATTATAACATGGATTGAAAGTGGCAGTTCATGTGGTTTCAATCCATGTTATAATCCATGTAGTGGTAACAGTAACATTATTAATATTGATATTGATATTGGTCATCGTCGAAAAAGATGCTGCTAAATTTACTCTAAAAAAAAATTATATTTATATATATTACCTTAAATTAATTCGAGTAATTCTAAAATAACCTATCTATTTTTGAGATCTCTTAAGAGTGATTCTTTGAGCGTACTAAATTTTAAAAGTTGATGATTTGTTTGTTCTTTTAAAAGATTTAACTTTTCTTCCATTCATTGTCTTATCTCCTCTTCGATATTTTCAATTTTCAGTTTTACAGTAATTGAGTATTTTCATTTCTAACTGTTTCTAAATGAACCTTTTGATTCAGAAATCTCTAATTTTCAAAGTTGTTCATCTTGTAACTTTCTAAGTTGTTCAGCCTGCATCATCATTTTAGTTCTACAATAAACACTGCTATTTCTTTGACTTTCTATTAATTTGGTATCTAAATCTTTTTCCATAATCCATAAATTTTCTATTCTCTAAAAGTATTTATTGAGATATATTATCATTCGAGGATGCATCCACATTTTCAAATTATATTAGGGTCAATTTCGTCAAAATAAATACAACATACAATTTTTTTTCAGGTAGTCTTAGTGCAATACGTTTATATGAGTATTGTCTTGGTCTGGATGCTATTGCTTCTGGTTGTTATTTTTGCTGTTGTAGTTATTGTGTTATTATATGATCACTTGCATTGTATTTCTTGGTATGCTTATAAGACAGAGACATTAATATTATTTTTATAGTTTGAAGAAGATTAGGAATTTGAAGTTTGGGAGATGGTGAAAATATTTTTTAATGGTTATGAACTATCTGATAAACCGCTATCTGATGAACTGATAGCTGATGATGATCTGCTATCTGATGTGCCTCTTGAAGAGTCCTCTGATGCGTCTGAAGAGTCTTTCCAGTCTGAAGAGTTACCTGCTATTATACCTGTTGATATGCTGGTTGATCCACTTGTTCATGTCACCTGTAGCACCGTGTGACTGTTATTTCTTTATAAGGACTGCCTTTGGTTTGCTACATTTGGCACTAAATTGATTTTTAACTATTAATTATTATAATATGTTTTAATATTAGCTTTCTTAAAAGCTTCTAATAACTGAGGCTGATTATTGATTTACTGAATTAATACTATTTTTTTTTAAATATAGATGACTAAAATTGGAGTATTTAAATATTGTGCTCTATTATTAAATTTATTTAATTCGATATTTAAATATATATTTGATTGTTGTTATTATTATTGTTGTTTTTTTTTTTTTAAAATAATGTATTGATTTCTAAATTGTTCTAAAAAGGTTTAAACATATTTCGGTTATTTTAAAATTATTATTTTTGGTGTAATATATTTTACATTATTAAAATTATTTGTGTGGGTGTGTTTGTTGTGTGTTGAAAAATTAAAAATAAAAATAAAATAAAAAAATTGGGAAAAATTTAAAAAAAATTATTTGAATTTTAAATATAAATATGGCAGTAATGTGTGTTTTAAAAAATCTTATAAAAAGATGCCCCATAATTTTACAACACATTTTTAAATTTATATTTTTAATATTCTTAAAAATAGTTTTAATAAATTTTTTTTGTATAAAATAAAATAAAATAAAATAAAATAAAGTAAAATAAAAAAAAATCAATAAATAAATATTATAACAAATAAATGAAATAGTAAATAAAATAATAATTAATTATTTATTTATGTCAAAGTAACCTTATTAATGGCCCTTAAGGGAGCAGGGGTGTGACATTCACATAGTGTTTGGCATCGTGGTAATCCTCCGTTTTTTAAACCATTTCTCTTTAATATATGGATATATACCCAGGCTTTATCAAATCATATATTATTGAAGGTGGACCTCTTTAAAAAACTGACAGGTGAATGGCATAGATATTAATTATAATTATTATTTTAAACTATTTATTTATTTATTCATATAATAATAAAACAAATAACAGTAAGCGAGCTTTAAAATTTTTTATCAAATACTGCAATTTTATGAATATTGATATTTTTTTTTTTTTAAAAATTATCAATCTAATATTTAAAAAAAAATAAGGTTGAATTAACTATTGAATGAAGTTCATGTGTAATAAATTATTATAAAACTATTGTTTTTTTGTTTAATATTTTTTTTTTTATTTTTTTTTTGTTTTTATTATTTTTTATTTTTTTTTTTAAATATAAAATTTTTTTTTTTTTAATATTTTTTTTTATTTCTAAATAATAATTTTTTTTTTTTGTAAATAATTACTAGTATTTTTTTAATTATAAATAATTATTTATTTTTGTATAATAAAATGGATTATTTTATATATACATATATTTTTTTATTTTTTTTTGGTTCCATTGGTTTTTATTTTGCATTTTGTTATGGTAAAATCAAAATAAACAAATTCAACAAATATATCAACAAAGAAGAGAGTTGGAAAAAAGAGGACTACCAACACAATGATTCTGACCAATTAGAGGATTTGGTCAATTCATTGGGAAGTTTAAGTCTTCAACCATCTCCATTGAGTGAAGAAGAAAAGGCCACTGAAGAATTTCTAAAGGAATATAGAAAATTGCAAGAAGAAATGTATCGTTAGAAGTTCCTCAATTCAATCAAATGGTGTTTATGATGTCTCAAAAAAACAAACCCAAATTCTAAATTAGATTACATTATTTCCAAATTTGAACAAACTATTTAAAATTTAAAATTTTCAATACAATAGACTGTCATTTATAAATAGAGCTTTATTCAAGTAAGTTATTCATACATTTATATTTATACATAATAAATAAAACTTATATTAATTTTTTTCATTTTTTAATTGCAGATAGAGTGTAAAAGAGTGGGTGATCTTCTATCTGGAAAACATATAAACAACCAAAACAAACAAACAAATAATAAATAATAAAATACCTTATAATGAGACTTTTTGGGTTAAAACTATCTTTATTGATAATATTGATAATATTAATAATATTGATATAATGATCTTTATTTATGAATTTTTATGCCTTTTATTTTTGGCGAATTATTTTTGAAAAAATATTAAAAAAATTAAAAAAAATTAAAATAAAAATTTCGGTTAAAAGAAATTTTTATGAAACACGTTGCAAGAAGCCATCGTATTACTTTTTATGGGAAAAGCTTTATAGGCTATAAAAACCCAATTATATATATATATTATATATTAATTATTATATAATTAATATGTGAGTGTCTAACATAGAGGGTTGTGTTGCAAGATCAATATATGATATTCAATTATATTTATTGGCTAAAAAATTTAGATAATATTCCAATGATTATTCCGATAATGAATCAAATTCCGACGATGATTCCGATGAACATACCTATTCCGATGATGATGAGGATCTTTCAGATGAAAACTTATTATATAAATTTCTCGTTTGAGATCCGAGTCAGAAGAATCTGTTGACTATATGGTTCTCGATTAATCATGAAATAGATAGCGATGAAATTAATAATTAAATCGTTTCATTTATTTTCTATTTATAAAATAAGATGCGATGAAGTTATTAATTAAATTGTTTCATTCAATGTTTCATTTTTTAAAATCGATGTTATTGAAATAGTTAACCACATTATTCAAAAAGTTTCAAAAAGTAATTCACATCATTATCAACTTTTAGTAACAAATATTGCAACATTTAGTTCAACTCTTCAAAAAATGCTCAGGAAATGAACAAAGAAATTCTAAATATTAGAAAGGTAACCATTATGATAAACCAGAATAATTATAATTATATATAAATATAAAATCACTAATATTTAATTTTGACATTTATTTAGTTTAGTTCTAATCATTATTTTTAAGTCTCAATTTGTAATCTAACCAAAAATTTGGGTTTTTGTCCACCACAATCTTCGAGGTATCCATCAATGTAAACTATATTCACCTTTTCTTCAAAACATCACAATCATTTAATTCACTCAAAACCACAATACTTTAATGGAATCAAAAGTAAGTAAATTATAATAAAATAATAATAACCAACCATGCGTAGAGGAAATAAAAAAGATATAAACGTAATTACTAACCATTATAATTGTTATTAATCAATATTAGTTGTATTCAATCAGACCTATTATTCTTTCATTAAATGGGAATTATAAAAAATAAATAAAATAAATATACACTTTTAATTTTTTTATTTTTTTTTAAAATTTATTTTTTTTAATTTATTTATTTATTAAAAAATAACATCCTTCGAGAGTTGAATGTTGTTTTTGATTGAATGTTTTCTTTATTGATATTTCATTATCCATTTTTGAAAATACCTAATTATCCTTCTAAGTTGTTCAACCTGTATCATTTATATATTTAAATATTGTGCTCGATTATTAAATTTATTTTAATACTGAAAAGATTTCGGGTAGGCTTGATTTATTATATATTTTGCATGATTTGAATTTTACTCGAGATTGAAAGACTTTGAAAGAATTTGAGTTTCTGCGACTTTGTGACTTTTTATGATAGTTATTGATATTGGTTTTGAGATTATTATAATATAGAAGTAATATTTCGTGGTTGGATTTATTAGGCCAGATATTTATATAATTGATTAAAATCCTTTCATTCATGATATCCACGACAGCAGATCTTGTAAGGGTATTGAATGGTTTTAATTGGTAAATCTATCTTTTGAATATTAATAGAAGTTTATTTAATTTATGTTAGTAGTTCTGTTTCTATTTCTTCAAAGATGCCATTTTCTATATGTATGTGGGTTTGTTGTTGCTGTTATTGTTGTTTTATTCATGTATTGGTTTACTTACTTATTCTCGAAAGGTTTAAACATATTTATTGTATGTGCTATAGTTTACATTATTAAAATTATTTATGTGTTTGTTTTTTTGTTGTTTTTTAAAAAAAATAAAATAAAACAATTAAAAAAAAATAAAAAAAAAAATAAAAAATTTTTTTTTAAAAAATTATTAGATTTTTAAAAATAAATATTTATTTTAAAAATGGGTGTGATAATGTGTTGATATTTAAAAATTGGGGGGGTTATATTTTTGAAAGAATTACAGACAACACCCAAAGACAGCTTATAATGAATATGAAATAAGAAAACAATAAAATCAGGTATTATTCCCCTACTGAGATATACACAAATATTTAAAGGAGCAACTTAACAGAGTTACAGATCGATATGATTACTATTAAATATTACTTATTAATTCAATAATTATCATTTCCATCTTAATAAAGTTGGGGGTTTACATATTTATTTGAGGGTACTGTTATAAATAACTCTACTGAAACATTATTTGAAACATTTATTTAAACAAATTTATTCAAAAACACAATTTAGCGAATCATCACAAAGTTTATTCAATACAATTTTATCAATTGTAATTATCATGAAGATCTATATTTAATAAAAGGGAAAATGGTAAAAAATAAACATATTATTTATAAAAATAAAATTTTATTATATTTTATTTAAAAATTTAATGATGTTTTAGTATCCTTATACTGAAAATATTTTCGATATTAAAATCATTTGATGTTCCAATATATTTGCCTGGCCAGGGAAAATGTATTTCTTCCATCAAATAGATTGAAATATGTGAGTGTTTGATTCTATTATTATTATTTTTTTTTTTTTTTTTTTTTTTTTATAAAATTATTAATTATTATTGATTTACTAAAAGTTCTTTTCTAAAGCTTTAGGGTTGATGATGCTGTTGCTTATGAAAGCGATGCTGATGATGAGGAATGCTGATGGTAATCAATGCTGATGATGGTGATGGTGATGATGAGGACCAAAATGAATGCTGATGATAATGCTGAGGACCAAGACGAATGCTGCTGATGAATGCTGCTGAATGATGCTGCTGATGATGAGGACCAAGATGAATGCTGATGGTGATAAGGCTTAGGAACAAGATGAATGCCGGTGAGGATGCTCATGATGATGATGATGATGCTGATAACCAAGACGAATGCCGGTGAGGATGCTGATGATGATGATAATGCCGAGGACCAAGACGAATACTGCTGATGAATGCTTCTGATTATGAGGACCAAGATGAATACCGGTGAGGATGCTATTTATTATTTAACTACTTTGGTTGATTATTATCATTACTAAATTAATGATCTTATAATTAACTATTATATTATTTTTTTTTTTTTTTTTTTTTTTTTTATTTTACCAATGTCTTGTTTATTTTGTATCATAATTTAATCTAGTTGTCCTAAGGTAATTTAAAATATTTATTATTTATTTATTATGATATAGAATTATTCTAGAAGACTAAGTTTTTTAAAATCTTTTTTCATAATAAATAAATTCTAAAGTTAATAATATAAATAGGTTAGTTTTTGTAAATCTTAATTGTTGCTTTTTTAATAATTACATTGACAAAGATTGCCTTAGGTTGTGGTTCAATTTGGTGGTGAAGATTTGAATTTAAATAACTTCTAAAGTTATCAAAAATTTTGGAAGGAATCCAAACCATCATCCAAATAATAAAAAATAAAAATGCCATAGCTTTATATGACAAACTTGAAATGGAGCTTTCCAAAACTTCTGCTAAAATTTTAAATCTATATTTAAAAGAATTAGTAATCAAAAAATGTACATATAAAATGATTTAAACACTTACTTTAGTGATTTTGGAGGATCTCTATCCATACAGAGCTCCCATGCTTTACATTTCTCTTCTTTTTGAATTTAATTAAAAATAAAATTGGAATTAGTTTAAAGAAATGTTTTGATTTATAAAATTATAAATTATAAATACCTGAAGAGAGATGATTATATATAATATTTACATCATTTAATACTATATTAAATGTAAAATATACAGAATAAAATAAAATAAAAACTATTAAAAATTTAACTATTAAAAATAAATATTCTACTAATACTATTAGTAGATAATGATTATTATTCTTTTTATTATTATTAATTTTATTATTATTATTATTATTTTTATTATTATTATTATTGCTATTTAGTTGTTTTAAATTTTTTTTTATTATATTGTATTTTACTAATAATACAATAAAGAAAACAATTAATAATACTTCTAAAGTATAAATAAAAAGGTTATTATTTGAAAAATCCATATTTATATTAATATATAATAATGAATGTTTCAAATAAATATATTTTATATTTTTATTATTGTTATGAAATTAAATTTATATGGAAAAATTATTATTGTGTTGTAAAATGTAAAAATAAAGCTATATTATTATTTGTATATGAATAAAATAATATTGAAAAAAAATAAAAATCAATTCTTTAATACAATAAAAAAAATAAAAATTAAAATAACAAAAAATAAAAAATAAATTCAAAAAAAATTTATTTATTAAAAAGATAGAACTGTTTTGAAAAATATAATTTTTTTTATAATAATATAAGGAAAATAAAAAAAATAATTGTAAAGTAATAATTTATTTTATATCTTTTTTTTATATTATAGATTGATCATTTTTTTTATTTGATTTAAATTTTCTATTTAATTCTCTTTAAAATGATACCCAGAAAATTAAACTAACATTTTCATTGCAAAAAATGATTTTTAAAAAAAATAATAAAAAAATTAATTAAATTGATTATTTCTATAATTTATACAACTAAATTTAAAAAAATAATATTAGATTATTTATTTAATGATTAATTTTAATAAAAAAAATTAAATTTAAAATATATATATTATTTTAAATAAATTTAAATTGTAATAAAAAAAGTAGCTTTTAAATTTACAGGTTTTTATGATACTAATAATGCATTGATGTTTAATTTGTTTATTATTTGTTTATTAATATATATATATATATATAAATTATAATTTATTTATTTATAAAAATTTTTATAAAATCAACTTGTTATAAGTTATTTCTTTGGGTGAATTATCTTTCACAAATTTAAAATATAAAAAAAAAAAAAAAAAATTTAATTTTCATTTCAATTAAAAACTATATATTAAAAAAATAAAAAAACTATATTATAAAATGTCAATTATTAGTAAATATTAATAAAGCTATTTAAATTTTAAAAATATAAATATTAACATTTATTTTTTTTTTTTGTTTTTATTTTATATTTTTTTATTTTTCATAGAATCTATTTCATCAATGAACCCAGTTAACGGTGCCTCATCTAAATCAATGTTAAGCTCATCTGGAAGTGTCTCATTCTCTGATAATGAATCAGTTTGGTTCGGTAATAGCTTAAGTGGCAGTTCATGTGGGTTCAATCCATGTTTTAAACCATGCATTGGCGGTAACAATAACATTATTAATATTGATATTGGTCATCGTCGTAGAAGATGCTGTTAAATTTACTCTATAAATAAATTATATTATATATTACCTTAAACTGATTCGAGTAAATATATTTATTTTATTTGTGAAAAAAAAATAAAAACAAAATAACGCTTATAAAAAAATTTTATTTAATTTTATTTTATTTCTTTGTATTTTTAATTATTTATTATTTTTTTTTTTTTTTATTTTACTGAATTTATTAGTTCTGTACTCAAGAAGATGGTTTGGTAAGTGAAATTGGTAGAACTGCATATATATATTTATATCTCCAAATGGTAATGGAGGTAAATGTGGTGGATGTGCCTATGGTGAGATGTTGTTATTTGATAATGGTGATTTTTTTTAAATAATGAGTTCCAAATTGATGATGAGATATTTTTTGAATTTAATGTTTGGTTTGGTTTAATTCGAACACCAATGGCATTGTTATTATTGGCACTAACTAAAGAATTTGGTGATTGGCTATTTTAAATGATTAATTGCTAATTTAGATTGCTTCTCTTGATTAGTCTATATTATCTATTTATTTATTTATTTATCTTAAAATATTTAACTTTTCTTCTATTCTTTGTCTTATCTCCTCTTCGATATTTTCAATTTTAAAATTTAATTGTGTATTTCTAACTGTTTCCAAATGAACCTTTTGAGTCAGTAATCTCTAATTTTCTATTAATTATTTGATTTCTAAATCTTATTCCATTGCTAAAGTCCCTTTTGCATTTCTATAGCTTTCAAATTCATGTTCAGTCTCTTTGATTCTATCACCATTGATTTCTTCTGAAGTATTCAATGGGATGATTGGTGAATTATTAGCACCTGCATTTGAACTACCAACATTAGATTTTGATGAATATGATGCTACCGCTTTTAATGGATTTCTGTTTTCTCTTCGCATTTATCAGTTTGCTTAGAAATTAATGCTGTTGGATCAATCCATCCCCTCTATCAGTACGAGAACTCAGTGAAACTTTTGATATACCAACAGAAGTATCATGACTAGTGTTGAAAGATTGTTTACTGAATTTATCTTAAAGAATTGTAATCTCTTATTTAATATTGTGATTTTCGGATTGAAGACCTTCTAATTCTAATTGTTCTAAAAGTTCTAATAAAGAGAGAGATAATCTTTCCAGTCTGAAGAGTTACCTGCTATTATAACCTGTACCACCTGTACAACCTTCACCACCTGTAGCAGCACAACTTGCAGCACCCGCAGCAGTGATGGTCCTGAAAAATGTGAGGCGTTTTATTAATTGTATGATATTGGGTCGAATTTGGTGGGTGTGACTGTTATAACTTAATGAGGACTGCCTTTGGTTTGGCACTATATTGATTTTTAATTATTATAAAATGTTTTAATATTAGCTTTCTTTAAGGCTTCTAATAACTGACTGATTATTGATTTATTGAGTTAATACTATTATTTTTTTTATATAGATGACTAATTGGGGTATTTAAATATTGTGATCTATTATTTAATTTATTTAATTCGATATTTAAATATATACTTGATTAGTTTTTTTTGAATTATTTGATTGATTGCTAAAATCCTGTTTTGATGATGCTTCAGAAACTAATACTGAAAAGATTTCGGGTAGGTCATATTCTAATATTCACTTTTAGCTATTAAGACACCATCTACATTATTAAATTGTGTTGTTAGCTTGATTTATTCTTTATTTTGATTTAATTAAAGATATGAGAAGTTGTCTTCTTTACAATAAAATCTAGGTACTTGTGAATTAAGTTGAATTAAACTTTTCAGTTAAACCATATGTTTAAGAATGGCAAGCGAAAGTTGGAGTTACTTTAAAGAATTTGTTTATTGAAAAGACGACTTCATTTATGAACCTTGAACCTCTATCAGATACTAAATTCTTTGGGGATCATATTTTAAATATATTTGATAAGCTAAAACCATTGGACCGTTTCACAATTTGAACAATATTTATGAAAGTTGAAGTTTACCCTTTTCCTTATCTAAACTATTTGTGTTCTATCATTGTTGCTTGGGCCAAAGCAAATGTATTGAGATTCATATAAATAGTTGATTATATTGAATATCTTCATTAGTGTTTAGTATTTAGTTGGATCTAAGTTTAATCTTTTTTTTTGCCAATGTTTTTTTCACACATGATAACTGTGCACTAGCGTCTATAGGAGCTGAACGGTACATCCATTAACGCTTTTGAATTTTTACATGAACTTGCAATTGATTTGAATTTTGCCTTGGCTGATTTACCAGAGATTGAAAGAATTTGAGTTTCTGCGACTTTGTGACTTTTTATGATTGTTATTGATATTAATTTTGAGATTATTATTATTGAACAATAGTTCATGATTGGATTGGTATTTATTATTATTACTTGAAATAGTATAAAATCTGTTTTAATAGGTTCACTGTTATTTGATAAACATAGGCCAAATATTTATATTATTGATTAAAAACCTTTCATTCATGATATCGACGACAGCAGATACTGTTGGGGTATTGAATGGTTTTAATTGGTAAATCTGTCTTTTGAATATTAATAAAAGTTAATTTAATTTATGTTAGTAATTCTGTTTCTATTTTCTATTTTTCTTTAAACGATGCCACTTCCTATGTATATTGGTTTGTTGTTGCTGTTGTTGTTTTAAAATAATGTATTAATTTACTTACTTGTTCTCGAAAGGTATTAAACATATTTTCAGTAATGTTAAAATTATTATTATTGATTGGATATGCCATAGTTTGCATTATTAAAACTATTTATGTGTTTGTTTGTTTGTTGTGTATTTAAAAAAATAAAAATAAAAAAATTAAAAAAAATTAAAAAAAATTAAAAAAAAAAAAAAAATTTTTTATAAAAACAATTTATTTTCAGATTTTTAAAAAAATATTATATTATTTTAAAAATGGCAAAAATAAAAACATTTTTATGATAATAAAAACAACTTTGGAAAAAAAAATCTGGCCCATTTATTTTTCAATCGCTGCGGTAAAAAAAAAAAAAGTGTTGTGGTGTGATTTTATATAAAAATCTAAATATAGTTTTTTAGAAAAACAAATTTTATAAACCCACAAAAAAAAAACTAAAAAATTTTGTTTTGTGTTTTTTTTTCTTTTAAAAAAAAAAATCATTTTTCTATTAATCATTGATTTTACTCGTTCACACCATATGACAAAAAAATATTTTTTTTTTTTTTTTTTTTTAATTTTTTTTGAAAAAGATTTTTAATTTGAAAGAATCACATCGCATATAAAATTAAAATCACGCACAATAAAAAAAAATGTAAAATAAATAATTTTTTTTTATAAACATAAATAAAAAAAAAAATCAAACACATAATGAAACTAATAAATATTAATTTTGTTTTAATAATATTGGTTTTAGTTTTTGTTAATAGTAACAATTTTGTAGTATCTCAAGCACCAAGATGTAAAACCACTAAAAATGTGTATCAAGGAGATGCAAGAGGTAAATTTAATGGTATGAGGTCCACCAAGGATGTGAATTGGTGGTTTTTACAACAACTTTCAGGTGATAATGGTGGTGCAATTTACACAGACAGCAGTTTATCTGGTGAAAAAATTATATCCGAAATCAACAACTATTATACCAAAAATAGTGATAAAATTCCAAATCCAATAACTATAACATATGAACAAATATTAAATAATAATTACAATAGTATTGCATATAATAATGAACCAAGACATAAAGTAAAAGAAGTTAATGGTGTAGTATATACTGATCCTACAACTCGTGGTGATCCAGGTACAGGTGCACATGCCAAGGGATTTTTTATTTGGAACAATCAAGGTAAATATAGTCATTTAATAAATATTATTATAATATTTAAAATATTAATTATTTATTTTTTATCTTCATTTTTATAAAAAAAAAAAAAAAAATTTATTAATAATTATAGGAGGTATTCATGTTATTCATAGTTATCCTCAATCGCCTGTAAATGATAGTGCTGATGAATTCTTTGAAAAAGGAATTGAGTTTAATTTGGGTCAACATTCAGTTTGTATCAACTTATCACCAGATGAATTAGATATTATTCCAAAGCTTTTAATTTATGGTGATTTTATTATTAATGAAATTAATGGTAAAAACATTAGAGATATAACGCACAAGCTATCTGGTCTAACCAAGTTTAATGACATTAGAACTAGAGTTGGTCCATTAATCGATACCATTGCTTTTACAAAAAATGAAATCGCTTCATTTAAAAAATTAAAGAAAACATTTGATATTTTTGATCAAAAAATTTTTGATACGATTATCTTTGATCCAATTACAAAACATTGGTCAAAAAATACAATAGAAATATCAAAATGGTCCACAATTGTAAGTTTTCAATTAATTTATATTATTTAATAACACTGGTTTGTTTTAAAATTCTAATTTTTAATTTTATTATTAATAGGCAAGCCTGGTCAGTAACAATGATTTTTCATCATTTGATTTCCAAAGAAAGAATGTTAATGACTGTATACATTACAATAAGGTAATGGATCAATCCAATGGTGATGGTCAATACTTTGTTCAAACCTCAAACAATAAGATTCATAAAAAAAAGACATCTTACCCATTATCAAAAAGAGGATTTAATATGATATGGGATTATATTGCAGATTACTATTACAACAACCATCAAAAAACAGGTAAATGGCTTATTAATACAATGCAAAGGGGTGGTAGTAAAAACGGTGATAAAATGGCCAAACCATCAGATAAAATGAATATTGTCAGTAGAACTGATGCACCATGGTCCGTTAGTAAATCTACAACAGATGGTGCTCAACATTCAAAGATATCATATTTAGTCGATATCACTGGTAATATATTTTGTAAGTATTCTTAATTTTAAACTGAGTTTGCATATAACAAAAATATACTAATTAATTTAAAATTTATATTAAAAGGTATTGGTGATCTTAATTGGCAAGGTAAACAAGTAAGTTATTTATAAACAATAATTAAAAGCATATTAAATTTATACAATTTTATATATTAACTGTTTTATTTTATATATTAGGAATCAAGGGGTGGTTGTGCATTTTGTTCAAAAAAATTAGATTATCTAGCTGAATACTATGAAAGACGTGTTACTGTTATTGCAGACCCTCCAACAGCCCAAAGGTATGATAGGTTTGGACCAGAAGTTATACCTTTTGGTACAGCAGGTTTTCCACTTGATTTTACAAATATTTATACTGGTTTAGAAAACAAGGGGTTTTTTAGTGCTGCAAATAGACCAGTAATGGAAATTAAAAAATTAAATCAAACAAATAATCAATATGAATCTTTCAATCCCAAAGTAATAATAGATACTGAAGGTAAAAAACCATCTGTAGATTATGATACGAATGGCTCTTTTGCATATAATTATGCCAATCTCATCAACAATTTCAATGGTGTGTTGGGAGAAATCTATATCCCAATGAAATTAAATAGAATACAAGCTGCAACGCCAACCTTTGACATTGACCAAAAAATCGGTCTATTTGTATTTCCAATCCTCAAAGATGAAATTATTTTTTGTGATTATAATGACCATCATTGCAATTATAATCACGATAACCATTTATTAATAAAAGATTTAGTTTTTAGATTCGAAATGCAAGATTATAAAGCTATAACTCCAAGACTTTCAGAAACCAATGGCCAAACCAGAAGTCGTAAAATGAATGTAATCTTCAACCCCACCATTTATAATTCGGTGCCACTCAGCATTATCGATAAAACAATTGCACTATTCAAATTAGAAAAGGACATTAAGACAATATACGATCATTTTGGAATTGTAAGACAAACACCAATTAGATTTATTAATATTGATTTAACTGAAATAGATAGCCAACGTATTTTAATTGGAAATTCCCAATATTGTGGAGATGTTGATATTATTTACTATAATGAAAATTGCTATGATTTTTTGGTGTACTGCCTCTCTGAAAAGTATGCTGTAATCAACAACGGTATATATAATGGCAGAGTAGATGGTTTTTCTGCTCCAACTAATGTCATTATGGTAAGTAATTAACATATATATAAATGATATAATTTTAAATATACAATTAAAATTTATAATATTTATATAACTAATTTTAAAATTTTTTTTTTTTCTTCTCTTTTCTTTTGCCAAAAATAGGGTGCTATATGGCCTAATGGATTTCCAAGTATATGTTTTAAACTAGATGTACCAGATATGATTAGTCAATCACAAACAATGAACGATGATTCTTAAAATAATTAAAATTTAAACTTAAGAAAGAGCAATTTTTTTTTTGTCCAATTTTGGTCATTTAGTTTTTTTTATTATTATTATTATTTTATTTTTTGTCCATTTTTATAATTTTTTTCTTAAAAATTTCTTTTTTTTTAATTTTTATTTTTATTTTTATTTTTTAACAGTTGTATTTATTTATTTTTTTCAATCAATGGAAAACAAAAGGAAACTTAATAATAATGATAATACAGTGCCCGGATTATATATGTAGACCCCCCCAACTTTTATTAAATCATTTATAAAATAAGATTTACCAATAATAGCTTTTATATGAAGAACCTTACCGCCAATAATTATTAATTTTTAGAAATAAATGGTAAGGAGTGGGTGTGAGTAAAATAAAAAAATAATAAAAAAAAATTTCTATATTTTTTACCACATTTTTATTTTTAAAATTTTTATATTTTTTTTATCATTAATTTAATAAGTAAGAGTTAATATAAGTTTAAAAATAGAATATAGTAAATAAACAAAATGATATTAAGTGATGAAGTTGGATACTCAATATTATCATATAAAAACAGAGGTCACAAGTCGAACTCAAAAATTGCAAAAAAATTGGAGTGTATAAATCACAAGTAGCAAAAACATTAGAAAAGGTAGAACAAACAGGCACAATCAATGACCGTAAAAGTCATGGGAGAAAAGAAAGTTTGACGAACGTGATGAACGTGATTTATGTTTCAATTTTTAAAATAGTAAATTTACTATATAAAATAAAGTATAATTTGGTATGAACAAAATGGATTTGGAACAATATCATACAAGTCAGTAAGAATTATTTTAAAGAGATATAACATAATATATAAAAAGAAAGTTATGAATCCTTCATTGTTTAGACATAATAGCAGAAAAAGATTTTTTTTAAAGTTGTGCATATAAATTTTTTTGTGGAATAATGAGAAAATTATATGTTTGTGGATGAAGTAAAGTTCCAATAATATGATAATAACCATGGTAGGTCTTCTTGGGCTTATGATACTAATGTTTTACTAGAATCACGTATCAAGACAAATGCTAGAAAGGGTGGGGTTAATTAAATATTTTTGGGAAATTTTCTTTATTTTGGTCCAATTTATTTATTCATTTATCAAATGGATTTTGAACTAAACAATATCTTGATATTATAAAAAACGATACACAAATAAATTTAGAATAATATGCAGATATAAATAAAGTGCCTAATAGGTTGCCAATCATTTGTCATGACAACTGTAGTTCGCATTCAGCAAAGATAGTGAAACAATATTTAGAAGAAAATAATATACAAGTTTATCCATTACCACCCTACAGTCTAGATATTAATATAATTGAAAATCTTTGGTCAATTTTTAAAGAAAGGGTATCAAAAAAGATGTTTCATGACCCATCACAAGACCAAGTTCAGGTATGTCAAGATGCATTTCATTCAATAGAAAAATCAATTATAAAATCATTATATGAATCACTCCCTGACCGAATAGATGCCATATTAAAAGCACATGGAGGGTATACTAAATATTAAATAATAATAATCATTTATATATAATTGTAAAAAAAAACAAATATAAAACAAATAAAATTTTTGAAATTGAAAAAACGGATTAAATATTTAGACCCTATTTTTTTTTTTTTTTTATTTTAATTTTTAGCAAATAAATCAATATCTTGTAATATGATTTATTTTAGAGGTCATTATATAAATATTAAATATGATCTATTAATTCAATAATTATCATTTCCATTTTAAAAAAGTTGGGGGGGTCTATATATATAATCCGGGCACTGTAATAATGAAAACAAAAATTAAAAAAAAATTTAAATTATAATTTAGATGATAAATATAAAGATTTTTTAAATAAAACATAAACCGATTTAAAAGAATATACAAATAAACTAGGCGTTGTATCTAAGAGGAATAAAAGAGATATTTATGATAAAATAAAAGAATTCATAGAGTTTCAACAAAGATTATCAAATGAAAATCAAGAAAAAGAATCGATCAATTCATTCAATAAAGAAAGAGCACAATTAACAATTAAAGATATCGAACCACATGAACATTTATTTTGGGAAATATTTAGAAACAAATCAATTTACAAAGAAATATTTTCAAAATTTAAACCTGATCAAATATCAAGTTATGAAGCTTTATTTTATGTATTAGATATACTTAAAAGATATTCAAATGGAGAAGCAATTTTAAAAGATAAAGTAAAGTCTTCTCAATATTTAAATTTTAAAATTAAAAAAGGAGGTTATGAATCTATTTGTAGGAAAATCATCGAGGAAACACCAGAGAATATAGCATTCTATGAACAGTTATTTTCAAAATATTCAAAATCAATAAGTAGAGAGGGTTTTGCCAGAGATGCACTTAAGGAATTAAATATTATGGTATTTGTTTTAAATATTATGAAATCAATCAAAACAGATAATGCCGATGTTACAGAGCTACTATTAAACTTTGTAAAAATTACGATAATAATATAAATTAAAATTAGATATAAATTAAAATTAAATAAAATTTTTTTTATAAGTGATATTTTTTTATTTTTTTTCAATATAAACAATGATTGATAAAATATACTCGAATCAGTTTAAGGTAATATATATAAATAATTTATTCTTAGGGTTAATTTAACAGCATCTTCTAGGACGATGACCAATATCGATATCAATATTTTATTATTTTTTTCTTTTTAAATTGTTATTACAAAAAAAATAAAATTTTAAAAATTAAAAAAAAAAATTAATAAAAAATTTTAGTTCAATTTAATTTTTATCACAGAGTTCATTATATTACTTTATGAGTTTTAAAATAATCATCTATATTTTATAAAATAAATTATATAAAAATATTTTAAATATTTTAAATAAAGAATATACATTAAAAATATTTAAATTTTAAAATATAAAAAACTTTTGAGTTATTAATATTTTATATATTTAATTATTTCAATAACATTCTTTTTTTGTTTTGGGTTTTTTTAAAAATTATGTAAAATTTATATATTTTATTTAATTTTTAAATTAATTTATATATGTATGTTCATTTAATTTTACATAACCATCTTGAATTAAAAAATCATTTCATAAATTTAGATTTACATAAAAAAAATAAAATAAAATAAAATAATCTTTATAAAATAAAGTTGTTGTTGTAAGTTATTTCTTTGGGTGAATTATCTTCACAAATTTACCAATGTATAAAAAAAAATAAAAAAATTTAATTTTCATTTCAATTAAAACAAACTATATTAAAAAGATTAATACTATATTACAAAATGTCAATTATTAGTAAATATTATTATTATAATACTATAATTTATATTTAAATATATAAATATTAACTTTTTTTTTTTTTATTTGTTTTTAATTTATTTTTTTAATTTTTCATAGAATCTCTTTCATTAATGAACCCAGTTAACGGTACCTCATCTAAATCAATTAACATGTCAAGCTCATCTGGAAGTGTCTCATTCTCTGATAATGAATCGGTTTGGCTCGGTAATAGCATAGGTGGCAGTTCATGTGGTTTCAATCCATGTTTTAATCCATGCAGTGGTGGTAACAGGAACATTATTAATATTGATATTGATATTGGTCGTCGTAGAAGATGCTGTTAAATTTACTCTAAAATAAATTATATTTATATATTACCTTAAACTGATTCGAGTAATTATATTTATATTTTATCTGTGAAAAAAAAAAATAAAAAAAAAAATAATGCTTTTAAAAAAAATTTTATTTAATTTTATTTTTTTTATTATTTTTAAATTGATGATGATAAAACCATTTATTTTTTCCTTTTAGTATTTTCATTATTTAATAGGTGTTTAAATATTGTAGTCATTTCTCTAATTTTCAAAGTTGTTCATCTTGTAACTTTCTAAGTTGTTCAGCCTGTATCATCATTTTAGTTGGAAGCTCGTCATCGAGATTTCTTGGATCTACAACAAAACACTGCTATTTCTTTGACTTTCTATTAAACATAGTGGGTATTGTCTTAGTCTGGCTGCTATTGCTTCTGGTTGTTATTTTTGCTGTTGTAGTTGTGTTATTATATGATCACCTGCTTTGTATTTCTTGGTATGCTCATAAGACAGAGACATAAATATTATTTTTATAGTTTGAAGAAGATTAGGAATTTGAAGTTTGGGAGATGGTGAAAATATTTTTTAATGGTTATGAACTGTTACTGATGATGAACTACTATCTGATAAACTGCTATTTGATGAACCACTAGCCGATGATGATCTGCTATCTGATGAACTTATAGTTGATGATGAAATGCAGCACAACCTACAGCAGCACATACTGTCTGAACTGCTAGCCGATGATGAACTTCTATCTGATGAACTGCTTGTTGATGAAGAGCTGATGAACTAGCTGATGAAGAACTGCTGTCTGAAGAACTGCTTGTTGATGAAGAGCTGCTTCTGATTAACGGCTGGCTGATGAGCCACTATCTAATGAACTGCTTGTTGATGAACTGCTATCTGATGAACTGCTTGTTGAATCGCAATCTGATGAACTACTATCTGATGATGAACTGCTAGTTGATGAAGAGCTACTATCTGATGATGAACTGCTAATTGATGAAGAGCTACTATCTGATGAATCACTAGCTGATGATGATTTGCTATCTGATGTGCCTCTTGAAGAGTCCTCTGATGCATCTGAAGAGTCTTTCCAGTCTGAAGAGTTACCTGCTATTATACCTGTTGATTTGATGAACCGGTAATATCAATACATGTTATGGCTTGATTGCTAAAAGCCTGTTTTGATGATGGTTCAGAACCTAATACTGAAAAGAATATGGCCATATTCTAATATTCACTTTTAGCTATTAAGACACCATCTACATTATTAAATTGTGGTGGTTAGCTTGATTTATTTATTTTGATTTAATTAAAGATATATTACGATCATAAGTTGCAATCTTCATAGATTTTAATTTTCATTTCTACAATGAATAAATAAACTCTATATACTTGAACAGTTTTAATACTTGGTAAGTCTGATTATAAGTTTTCATTTATAAAGTGAAAGAATGGTGAGAAATGCCAGTAGAAGGATGAAGCATAATACTAAAGCAATACCAATTTGCTGTGGATCATTGTATTGTCTTCTTTACAATAAGATCTAGGCACTTGTGAATTAAGTTGAATTAAATTTATACAATAAACAAATTCTTTAAAGTAACTCCAACTTTCGCTTATCACTGTTGCTTGGGCCAAGGCAAATGTATTGAGATTCATATAAATAGTTGATTATATTGAATATCTTCATTAGTGTTTAGTATTTAGTTGGATCTAAGTTTAATCTTTTATTTTGCCAATGTTTTTTTCATACATGATAACCGTGGACTAGTGTCTATAAGAGCTGAACGTTCATCCATTACCACTTTTTGAATTTGTAATTGATTTGAACTTTGCTTTATCTGATTTGAATTTTGCTTTATCTGATTTACCAGAGATTGAAAGACTTTTGTTGGGGTATTGAATGGTTTTAATGGTAAATCTGTCTTTTGAAAAGTTATTTTAATTAATGTTAATAATTCTGTTTCTATTTTCTATATTTCTTCACGATGCCATTTTCTATATGTATATGGGTTTGTTGTTGTGGTTGCTGTTATTGTTTTAAAATAATGTATTAATTTACTTACTTGTTCTCGAAAGGTTTTAAACATATTTTCGGTAATGCTAAAATTATTATTATTTATTGGATGTGCTATAGTTTACATTATTAAAATTATTTATGTGTTTGTTGTTGTGTGTAATGAAAAAAATAAAATAAAAAAAAAAAAAATTAAAAAAAAATTAAAAAAAAAAAAAAAATTTTTTTAAAAATTTTAAAAAAAAAAATCGATTTTTAAAAATAAAAATTATTTCAAAAATTGGTGTATGTTGTTTAAAGTTTTGTGTAATCATATTCCACCAAAAAATATCTTTTTTTGTTTTTTTTTTTATTTTTAAAAATTTTATACTTTTTTTTTTTTTAAAATACCTTTCAAATTTACAGTTTTATTTTTAATTTATTTTTATATTTTTGTATTATATTTTTATCAAAGTGAAATTATTAAAAATACATTAAACGCAGTTTGGAGACCAGTTCAGATGTCATTAGAATCATTTAATGGTGGTTATATGTTAACAATTGAAGTATTTGATTATGATTCAGTTGGTTCACACGACTTTATCGGTATTGTTCATTTAAATGCAGATCAAGTACTCAGAGGCCAAAAAGAATTCCCAATTATTAACCCAAAGAAAACAAAGAAATCAGGTTACAATAATTCAGGTTCTTTGGAACCAAATTAGAAAAAAAACATACATTCCTCGACTATTTAGCAGGTGGTCGCGAAATATCATTAATGGTTGCAATCGATTGTACAGGTAGTAATGGTGTAGCTTCATACGTACACTCACTTCATTATAACACACCAACACAACCAAGTCAATATGCTCGTTCGATTATGTCAGTAGGTTCAGTTTTAGCTCCATAAGATTCAGATGGTATGATTGATGTTATGGGTTTTGGTGGTTCGTTCATAACCAGGTTCAGGTGTATCACATTGCTTCCCATTTCAGAAAAGTCATTCAACATGCAATTAAAAAAGCATCAGAAGGTTAAAACCAACAAACCAAATACTCTGTACTTTTAATTTTAAACGATGATAGTGAAATTTCAGATATGGACGAAGCCGTTAGAAATCTAGTTAGTGCAATGCAATTATCAGTCGTAATGTAAATATTTCTTTTTAATTATTATTTCTATTTATTTGTTTTATTAATACTTAATTCATTATAATTTATTAATAGTGTTGGTTCAGGTTCATTTGATAAATATGGTTTCTTTAGATGGTGATGATGGTACAGCAGGCACTATATCAATATATAACACATATATAAAAACATCAGGGGGTCTACATATTTTCCTCGGGCACTGTAGAAAAAAAAATTAATTAAAAAATGAAAAAAAAAGTAAAATTAAATAATGTAATAAATGTTTAGTCTTTATTTAATAAATAATTTTACTTTAAATGGTATTATTTATTTTTTTCATTGTGGAAACACAAGTAATGGATAATACTATGTTTATCGAAATAGGAATTATATATTAAAAAAACAGAAAAACTATTTTTTTATTTTTTTTTATTTTTTTTTATTTTATATATTAATTAATAAATGGATAAACGATTTGAGGTTGATAACACTACGTTTAATTTTGGTTTCTATTGAATTGGTGGGTGTTAACTATTTAAATTATTTAAATAAGAATATCTTCCACTTTGATTTGACTTATTCAAAAGCACAATTAAAAAGTATAGACTAAAGCAACAATGTACGATTAATGACCTGAAAACTTCAAGTTGAAATAACGTTTCGAAACTAAAAAATTAAGAATTCGAATTAATCTAAATAAGTATTAAAATTAAATTTTAGTATCTTTTATTTTCAAATATAATAATAATTATGAAAATTTTATAGTTAACCTAAGATTACAAATACTTCAATGTTTGATTTATGATTTAAAAAACCACTAAATAATAAGCTAAACCATAGTATGATGAATGATTTGATAAAACCCCAATTATTGATTAAAGACTTGAAAAAACACCGTATTTTAAAAGAAATAACCTCTATTGCATGATTAACGAGTCGAACCTGAAAAGAAACAATTGAAATTAACCTAAATAAATAAATATTTGAAATTCTAGTTTCTTTTTTGTTATTATAATCATTATTTTTATTTTTATAATATTTATAATATTTATATAAAAAATAGAAACATATAACTATAAGGAACTTCATATGTACAATAATATTTATATAAAAATAGAAATATATTACAATAAGGGACTTCATAAATGTACTCCTAAAATTTTTTTTTTTTTTAAAAAAAACTTTTTTTTATTTTTTAAAAAATAAAAAAAATCAAGAAAAAAAAAGGCCCTTTCAATGACACTTTTTTTTCTAAGTTCGCCACCCCCATTAGTTTTTTAATTTTTATTTTTTATTTTTTAATTTTTATTTTTTTTAAATTTTGATACCCCTATTGACACATAATTTAAATTTTTAATTTATTTTTTTTTATTATTATTGATATTTTTTTTTTTTTAATTATCATTTATAAAATTTTAATAATAATAACTTCAATAAAAATAATAAATTTTTTTAAAATAATAACTACATTATATAATTCAAAATGATTCAAAAAATAATGGGCTTTATTTCAAAAATTATAACCTATTTATTTGCTTTAATTTTTTCCATCTTTTCAAAAATAAAAAGAAATCAAATATTTAATCAAGAGTTCCATGAAGATTATGATGATATCCATTATGATACCGATGAAAACTATGTCCATTATGACACTGATGAAGGCTACACAGAGCCATTCCGTTTGGTATTAAATATTAGAGTTAGAATAACTATTTTTTAGATCATCATAAAAAAAACTAGACAAAAAGAAATTAAATTTCCATCACACACTCGGGTTGAATAGAGTCTTGGTTGTTTTCCAATTTTAGCTTTTATATTTCAGCTTCCATGGTGGTTGGTGCGCATTTAATTCAAGAATTATTAAAAGGAACTTCATATGTACACAAACGAAAGGAATAAAAAATAAAAAAAAAGTTATTGTTATTTATTTTAATTAAATATTCTAAAAGGGGTTGTATATTTTTTTCATTTTAAATTATTATTATAAAAAAATTATTATCACAGAGTTCATTTTATTACTTTATATGAGTTTTAAAATAATCATCTATATTTTATAAAATAAATTAAATACATAAATTTAAAAAAAAAAAAAAAAAAAAAAAAAGAAATTATGTTTCTGTAAGGAAAAAAAGAGATAATTAACTATTTATTTAGAATTTTTATTTTTGCCTTTGCCCTTGCCTCTTCCTTTACTTTTACCTTTGCTACTGGATGATGTTGATTCCATACTGGTATCACTCATGTCGAAGCTATCTTCGTTGTTGAGGATTGCATCCAAACTATTGTTTAAACTATTATTATTAGATTTGTATGCATTATCTCTTTCTAAATTATTTTTTCTTTTGATTCTGAATCAAAGTTTATATTTCTATTTGTATTTTTATTTTTTTTATCATCTATATTTTATCAATTTGATCAATAACTTTTTTTTTATTTTTTTTTTCCTTACTATCAATTTTATCAATACTATTATCTGTACTATTAATAATATTGTTATTGTTATTATTGTCTATATATAAATGAAGTTCTTTCTAATCTCTAATAGCAATTAATTGTTCACAAAGTTAATCATTTTGTACTTATGCTGTATAGTTGTCGTTAATGATTGTCATCTCTTGAAGTCTTTCTTGCTGCTTCACGTTCTTAGAGTTTCAATGTTAATGCTTTGTTTTTATCAATTTCTTCTTGTAAAAGTTTTTCCAACTCTTCGATTCTAGCTTTGAGTTTTAGTGATGATTTTAGTGATAACTCTGGTTTTGCCTTGATTAATATAATGAAACATTAAATAAATAATTTTTGTTGTTGTTGCTGCGATAATTGTTGTTGTATCATTGTTTGTTGTTGGGCTAAAAGATTTCAATCTTGATACATTATTTGATCCAAATTGGCACTATATTGAGTTATTATCCTGTTGTTGAATGGAGTACCATACACAACTGGTACAGTTTGACGAATAAATACTGGTGTTGGTACAGGAATTTGTTCTGGTTGTGGTGGTTTTTCAAAAACTGGTGGTAGAGTTAGTTTAGGTTTGGGCTTTGGTTGTTCTGAAACTTGAATTTGGTGATGTTTGGGTGTTACTGTTATTGTTTGATGAGGAATGCCTTTGGTTTAGCAGTATATTGATTTTTAACTATTAATTATTAAAAAATGTTTTAATATTAGCTTTCTTTAAGGCTTCTAATAACTGAGGACTGATTATTGATTTACCGAGTTAATTAATTTTTTTTATATATATAGATGACTAATGTTGGGGTATTTAAATATATATTTGATTGTTTTTTTGAATTATTTGATTGATTGCTAAAATCCTGTTTTGATGATGGTTCATAACCTAATACTGAAAAGATTTCGGGTAGGCCAAACTATAATATTCACTTTTAGTAATTAAGACGTGTTAGCTTGATTTATTCTTTATCTTGCATATTTTGATATAATTAGAGATAAATTACCAGCATAAATAGCAATCTATATGAGTATAAAGCAATACCAATTAGTTGTGGATAATTTTTATTGTCTTCTTTACAATGAGATCTAGGTTCTTGTGAATTAAGATGAATTAAACTTATCTGTTAAACTATATTAGATGATTTCCTCGAGATTGAAAGACTTTAAAATTCTGCGACTTTGTGACTTTTTATGATAGTTATTGATTAATTTTGAGATTATTTTTATTATTATTATTATTATTATTATGTTCGTGGTTGGTGTTTATAATACCTATTATTTATTATTATTTGTAAATAGTATAAAATCTCTTTTAATAGGTTCGCTGTGCATTTGGTAAACATATGCTAAATCTTTATATTATTGATTAAAAACCTTTCATTCATGATATCGACTACAGCAAATCATGTTGGGGGTATTGAATGGTTTTAATTGGTAAATATGCCTTTTGAATATTAATAAAAGTTAATTTAGTTTATGTTAATAATTCTGTTTCTATTTTCTATATTTCTTCAACGATGCCATTTTCTATTTGTATATGGGTTTGTTGTTGCTGTTATTGTTGCTTTTGTTGTTGTTTTAAAATAATGTATTGATTTACTTACTTGTTCTCGAAAGGTTTTAAACATATTTTCAGTAATGTTAAAATTATTATTATTATTGATTATATGTGCTATAGTTTACATTATTAAAATTATTTATGCATGTGTTTGATTGTTGTGATCGAAAAAAATAAAAAAATAAAAAAAAAATTAAAAAAAAATAAAAAAAATAAAAAAAATAAAAAATAATATTTATTTTAGAAATTTAAAATGGCATAACCTGTTGATATTTACTAAAATTGAGGTATACATTTGAAAAATCATATTTTCTAAAGTTTTTAAATCAAAATCTCTAAATTTTCTTCCTCCCTATAAAAAAAGTGTTATTAAATACTTTGATTTTTTTTAATTTATTTTATTTTTTTACATTCCATAATTGGTAATATCTGTGACTTTGGCTGTGGTGGTGGTAGTTTGTTTAGTTTCTGATGAGGAGGTATGTTGTAGTACTTTCAACAAATAATAATAATTAGAGTATATAATCTTATATTATAAAAAACTCTTTATTATTTCATTTTTTTTAAAATATGATAATAATTCAAAGAAATATAAATATTTAGAAGACCCAATTACATTCAAAAAAAAGGTTTCAATAGAGTCACATGTTTCTTTAAATACATCAATTAAAAAAAAAAGAATTTTATAATATTAGTATTTATATTAGTTTAATTTAAAAATAAAAAAATAAATAATTTAAAAAAATAGTAAATAAAAAAAAAAATTATTTATTTTTATACTCTTTTGAGTTCTAAAATTATAGTTTATTTTCTTTTTAAATACGTTCTTTATCTAAACTGCTATACTGTTTGGTTTCTAAATCTTTTTCCATTGCTAAATTTTCTTTTACAATTCTATAACTTTCAAATTCATGTTCAATCTGTTTGATTCTATACAATTGATTTCTTCTGAAGATTGGGAGATGGTAAAAATGAATCACTATCTGATGATCTGCTATCTGATGTGCCTCTTGAAGAGTCCTCAGATGCTTCTGAAGAGTCTCTCCAGTCTGAAGAGTTACCTGCTATTATACCTGTTGATATGCTGGTTGATCCACTTGTTGAAGTAAAACAACCTGTTCCACCTGTACCACCTTCACCACCTGTAGTGATGGTCCTGAAAAATGAGTTTTATTAATTATATGTTAATAATTCGAATTTGGTGATTCTTGGGTGTGACTGTCTTGTGATGGGTCACAAAACATCTTTTTTGATACCCCTTCTTTAACAATTTACCAAAGATTTTCAAATAAATTTTTTTTTTCACAACTAAATAAAAAAGTCTTAAAATCT